ATTGCACATCATTGTTATATAAAATGCCTCAATACTTGTATCAAAGTAATTTATTCTATCACTCTGTATTCTAAAGATACATAATTGTTGTAGATTATTTATTGGAATGTGAATTATGTGGATTCGAACGTTTGTCCACCTCGTCGCACTCATCTCGATAGCCAAATGCAGCGATATAACACCTGCTGTGTTTGGGAATGAGCTATATGGTATGCCAGCGGCGTTTGGAGACTTCAATTCTGATGAGTTAACAGACGTGTTTATGCTACGCACATATAACAAAACGCATACAGTGGAAATATTCCTGGCGGCTGAGCAGGAACCACTGCTACGGCCCAAGCCAGACCTGAATTGTTCATTTAAAGATCATGTAACGAGTATAGTACCAGGTGATTTTGATGGCGACGTCTTCATGGACATCCTGGTGACGACGTTCAATCGTGATAAGAAGCTCACTTATGCGCATATACTGTGGGGTGGTAATGGCCATCTGAATTGCAGCAATGAGTGGAATCCCTTTATAGAGATGCGTGATCAGCCATTAGCATTGGACTACAATCAAGATATGATAATCGATCTCTTTGGAGTGGACAAAGATGGCAAAAGGATGTTCTGGATATTTAATGAGAATAGAACCACTCCAGATACTGTTGAGATGCGCAACTATACTTTGAAGCCACTGGAATCCGTAAGAAACCCACATTCCAATGCCTTTCTGGATTGGAACGGTGACTTTTTGCCGGATCTTGTGATAACCACGAAGAAGTCCTTCGAGATATGGTATGAATCGGGTATAGAAAAAGGATTCACATTTTCTCATGAGATAGATCTTCCATATAATATATCAATCGATAAAAATTTCAAAGGAGAATTTGGACAGACTCTTTATCTGGATGTCGAGCTGACTGGCAAGATGGCTCTTCTTTTACCATTGTGTTTTGATGAGGCCTGTACCAATTGTACGATAATGATGTACTTGAATGGATGGTACAATCTGCGAGTGAACTTCCGTGACCCCAATAACATTTTGTGGGGTTTTGTAAAGCCTAATGGTCATCGTTACACAGAGACTATCACTCTACGCGGCGGCGACTTTAACATGGATGGTTATCCAGATTTGCTAGCGACTCTACAGTCTGCAAAACAGACGCAATCATTTTTATTGCAGAATGTGGCGTGCAATAACTGCGCTGGCTTCAATCGTACTTTCGATGTCAAGTGGCAGGCACTGAATCCGTTCTATAATGAGACCGCGATGGCAGTGTTTTATGATTTTTATCAAGACGGCATTCTGGATGTGATCTTAGTCGAAGTTGATAAGACAAAAAACGATACCTATCGCACAGCGGCATTCAAGAACAGTTTAGACTACGACGCGAACTTTGTTAAGGTGATGGTGCTCACTGGACGCACCAACAGTATGTATCCCATTTCGCCAGGCTCACTCGGTAAAAAAAAGAGGACCTATGGCACCAATCTGCCGGGACCGTCAATTGCGTACAGAACCACCACGCAGGATGGTAGTCCTCGCAACGCAATCGCAGCGCAATTACCCCAAAGCGCACATTTCTCGCTTAATTTGCCGTACACCACCTTCGGTTTAGGAAGAACGCCCAATTTTGTGGATGCTCTCACGATAGGGGTAATGAAAAGATCGTTTGACTTTTTATATCATCAGTTATAATATACTATAATAATAAATTATAATCACAAACATAATTGATTACACTAATGTTAATTAAAATTGAAACTAGAGAGTTCTGTTTTTGCTATATAAGCAGGATTACATTGAGAAACTTGATCAACTTTTTGTTTCTCAACAAATGATGGGTATTTCTTGCAGGACTTTTTACATTGAAAAAGAATGCTTTTCAAAAAATTTCATCACTCTTTAATTTTTAAAAACTCTACTTTTTTATGCAACAACACAAAATTTGCACTGAATTACAAGATTTCTGTTTCTCAGCATCTGAATAATGATTTTTATGTACTTTATTCCATAAAGTGAAAAAAACTATAAATTTAATTTTTTTTATAAAAATAGTCTTGATTTTTTAAAATTTGTGATAATGGAACTTTTTTAAACTTATTTTTTTTAACCAATTAAAAATATATTAAGAATTATTCAGATTTTGAGAAACCTTAAAATTTAGTTCAATTTAAGATATACAATTACATTGATTATTAATCCAACATTAATTACTTACCATTTATGGTGTAACTCGATTTTACTAAAATTTCAATTGATAGAATATTTTAAAAATATATATTTATTTTTCAGGTTGGTGGCAAATCGCGAGAATGGCCGCAAATTATTCCTAATTCACAGATGGTCGTGATACCGAATCCAATTGCTGAACCATCGAGATGGAAGGCTCAGCTATTCGTTACGCCCAGCAAGTTAATTTTACTAAGCGCAGCAGCTTTATCTGGCACCTGCGCTTTGATCACGTCTTTAATTCTCGGTTTATATTGGAAGGAGAGGAGAGAAGACAAAATCGAGAGGCTCCAAGAAGCGCACAGATTTCACTTCGACGCGATGTAGAAAAATTAATATAATAAGAGGAAAAGGAGGAATAAGATCAATAATTAAAACTTATTTAAGATATCGGTTTATTGATATAATAATTTAATAATAAATAAATCGCGCTTAATATCCTCAAACTCGCATAAAATCCTCATATTCATCAGTCGCGACTCCGACAGCATACGAAATATCGTATCTTTTTTCTGTTGACCGTAAAACTTTTACTTTCGATATAAACAAGTTACCGTCAAGATAAAATTAACGATTTATCAATTCTTTTTCGTCATAAAATGACAAGACTCGGTGTCTTCTTCTTGTTGTAAGGGACGATTATCTCATCCGAGCGCATTATATATATATATATTAACAAATGATCATTGCCAGAACATTTTCCTTTTCACTTTTTGGTCGCTGCGTGTCGTAATTTGCTTTTGGTTGGTTTGAGCTAAAAGGGATGACTTGCTATTGGCATCGGTCGTTTTTTATGACAGGGTTCAAGTCGTTGAAGTACGGATGTACCATCGCTTCTTCTGCCGACAGCCGTAGAGCCGGATTACACACTAATAATCTCTGTTAATCAGTAAACATACAATTGAAAACCATCTAGAACTTTAAATAAAAGAGCTTATTATTGCTTAATTTTAGAAAATATAAATATAATTTTTCGATATTTTATTTAAAGAAAAAGAGATTTAGGGAATTTTCTATCTTTCAAATTTTTATTTATATTGTTAGTGATTTTTTAATGAAGGCTTAAATCATAGTATTGTTCTTTTGTGCATACATTATACAGAAATTTTTTTATTATTTATTATTATTTATATGTTAATGCTCTATTCTAAATCACTCTAATTTCTCTACATTTTCATTCTACATACTTTCATTATATTTTTTTCATCTTACATTTTTCTTTGTTATAAATTGTTAGATTATTGTATTAGATTTATTATTATCGATAGAGTTTGATTATGCTTGT